AAGGTCCCTTCCAACCCAAATCATTCTGCGATAAGGCAGAGTTGATACCTGGGGGAGATGACCATCACAGAAGCTTGAGCTGAAGGCAAGGGATGGCTGGGATATGTTCAACAACTCTTTTGCCCAAGAGTTTCCTTTAGAGACCGTTCTCAAGAGCAACTGTAAAGGCTTTACCACTGCGGGGGGGGATGGTGGGGGTGAGAGGATCGAGCCTCAGTGCGCTGCATTACTATCTGGACACTGCTTCTAAGAAGAGCTGATGGCACAGGAGTTTGCAGGAAAGCCACAGGAGATACAGCTGTCACAGCCCATTCAGTCACATCCTGCATTCCAAAACTGCCCAAGTCCTGCTGCTGGAAGTATTAGGAGAAACCATGGGAAGTAAGAGGAGAGAAGAACAGAGGAGCTAGAAGATTTGCAGATTGGTGATGGCTGAAATGGTATCTTCATGGGCTAAGCCTGTAGTTCATCAACAACTGGCACAACAGCGACAAGGTCAGGGGTCCTCTTTACTTTAATTCTTCTTCCCAGGTGTGTACCAGATATGTGACACCTCCCCCCACCCCAACACAGGCCCTCACAGCACAGGCACAACCACCGTGCTGTTGTGATCCCGCAGTCCATCCACTCAGGCACAGGACCACATGGGCTCAGCTCTAATGTGGGCTGTGTCCCAGCTGAGGCACTTCCTTCCATCCAGTGCCCAACCTGAAACATTGGGCAAAGGCAGGAGTCATGCTGTGGCAGTTCCTCACCTTTATCACAGATCTGGGAGCTTCTCCACACCTTTCTGAGGAACCATGTGTGACAAGCAAGGAGGGCATGATCCAGTCCCTCCATGGCTACCATCAGGCTGTGGAAGGTGCCTTGTCCTGGCTTTAGCGTACTACTGACAAACCATTCCCCTTCTGGCAGCTGAGTATGCCACCCCATGAGACAAAATATTACCTTTTCCCACCTTCAGCTTGTTCCTTTGGCTCCTTGAATCCTCCTTTCTTACTTAGCAATAAATATAGTTGGGGGTGGAGGGAATGGAGCCGTGTCCTTGTTAGCACAGGCTGCTATGGCTCTGCATTCTCAGTCCACATGATGCTCATCCCTTCGTTCCTCATTCTCATTTTGAGATAAGCTTTCCCTGTCTCCAACTTCCACCAGAGCCTTCCAGCTGGTGGAAAAGGACCTGGGGGTGTTGATTGACAGCGGCTGAACATGAGTCAGCAGAGTGCCCAGGTGGCCAAGAAGGACAACAGCATCCTGGCCTGGATCAGCACTAGAGTGGCCAGTAGGACCAGGGAAGTTCTCTTCCCCCTGTGCTGGGCACTGGTGAGGCCGCAGCTCGAGTGCTGGGTTCAGTTTTGGGCCCCTCACTCCAAGAAGGACATGGAGGTGCTGGAGCATGTCCAGAGAAGGGCAACGGAGCTGGGGAAGGGTCTGGAGCACAAGTGTGCTGAGTTCCCGGCTGAGGGAACTGGGGTTGTTGATCCTGGACAAAAGGAGGCTGAGGGGAGATCTTGTGGCTCTGTCTAAGTCCCTTGGAGGAGGGTGCAGAGAGGTGGGGGTGGGTCTGTTCAACCAAGGAACAAGTGACAGGACAAGAGGAAATGGCCTCAAGTTGCACCAGGGGAGGTTTAGATTGGATCTGAGGAAAAACTTCTTCGCTGAAAGGGTGGTCAAGCATTGGAACAGGTTTCCCAGGGAGGTGGTGGAATCACCTTCCCTGGTGGTATTTAAAAGACAGGTAGATGAGGTGCTCAGGGACATGGTTTAGAAGTGGAATTGGTAGTGTTTGGTTTATGGTTGGACTTGATGATCTTAAAGGTGTTTTCCCACCACTACAATTCTGTGAACTAACAGTTCCTCTTTCTAGCTGGATATGCGCTCCCCACTTATTACCATCTTCCTTCCCACTTTGATAGCTTACATTCCCTCTCTCCCACCCAAGACCCACCATTTCCTGATGCCACTGCTTGTGTCACATGGGGACTTGCTGCCTACCTCAGCTACAGGCAGCACTGTAGTCAGCCAAGGCTCGCTCCTCTGCAAAAGGAAATGAGGGAATCGATTACACACACATGCATGCACACAGAGGAGAGTCCACAATGTCTTTTCTCAGCCAGAGAACTTGGAATCCAGCTCCCATCCCCAGAGTAGAAGAGAACCTGCAACTGACCTGGCTGGTAGTAATCGTAGACTTTGATGCTGGCCGGTTTCAGGTTCTTCATTGGAATTACTTGTTCCAGTTGCAGAATGAAAGTCTGAGATTCATCATTGAGCTTATGGAGGTGGAAAGAAATGAGCAAGGGAAGGGAGAAAGAAGTCATTGCATCTTCATCTTCCCTAGCCTGAATGTTTTCCTGCACTAAATCACTCTACTCTATTAGAGATTCTGGATTTTAGAAATGGAGTAGGTGTGAGAAATAGCAAATGTCAACCCAACAATGATGAAATTGGGCAAGCTTCCTCGACCCACAGCTCTGCCAGTGTTCCTTCCCCATGCTTAGCCCAGATTTGGGCTTCTCACACAGCTCCTTGTCCTCTGGCCTCTTGTTCTTGCTGCACCAAACCAAATACTATTGTTCCCACTTACCTTCTCCAGATAAATGTAGACCACATCAGCTTTCACTTCTATTTTCTTAACAATGGTTCTGCGCTCCAGCTGGGATAGGAAACAGTAACACAAGGAAATCTGTGAGCACTTTCCTTAGGGCTTCCTGACCTGAGGGACCCACTGTTGTATTGAAGGGATGGTGTGGAGCTGGACTCTGTGTGGAACTGAATCTTCCTCACACATAAGGGTTTTAGTGGTTGTATCTTTGTTAGTCCCTCCTGGACCTCCCTTGTGAGCATCTCAGGGATGAACTACTCTATCCCTGCTCAGTTAGATGAATCTCCCACTCTGGGGACAAAAGGACTGACGTGTTGGTCAGCAAACATCTGCAGGCACCAGTAAAGATTCTTACCTCATCTCACTGACTGCTAGACTGCTCTTAAAGACCTGCCTGGGGGTTGTGTAAATTACTCATCTTGCAGTTGTATGGCTTAATTGAAAAAAAACCCCCCAAACACCACAATTTTTTTGATCTCTCTAAGAAATCTTGTTACTCATCTTGTAGTTGTATGGCTTAATTGAAAAAAAACAAAAAACCCCCCAAACCCCACAATTTTTTTGATCTCTCTAAGAAATCTTGTCCTAAAATTTCTGGCAAATAAATCTTGGTGTTTAGCACACCCAGCAGCACATTTTAGTCCTGGCCCAAGGCAGAATACTGTCAGTGGGAGAAGCTGAACCACCTCTAATATCCTGTAGCCAACCCTTGTGGGTCCTGTATGGAAATGAGAGGTTTCGGTTCAATTGCAACAGCAAAGAGCCCTTGCTAATTTAGTTACCTCATGGCCTGAAACAAATGGTTCCCAAGAGGAGCAAGAAGGTGGGACCCATTCACCACAGCCACATTTTTTTTCTATTCCAAAGTCCTTACCAGCATCCTGGATCCAGGAGCCAGGATGAATCCAGAGAGCAGGGAGACCTCCATGATCACCATGTTGGATGTGACCCTGCTTCCAATGTAGCTGAAGAAGAAGAAATGGTCAAGAGGGTTTGACTCTGTGAGAATAGTGTCATCCAAGCCCCACTGCCCTCCACCACCACATCCTTTCTGCAGGACCCTGAGCCAAGTAGCTCATCTGGGACCAGGGACACAGCAGCCACCCCTCCTTTTTTGCAGGAGGTGCCCAGCACCTTCGTTCCCCACCACTTCCACATACAAAACTCACCCTCTGTCCCATCCACCCCAAGTGCCAGGTCCCTCCATTGCAGCCCTGAGGCCTTCCCAGCTGCTGTCCCCAAAGCACAGAGGGTCTTACTGGAGAAGGAAACAACCCTTGGGGTCACCTGGCAAGGATGTGGAGGGTGAGGACACGTGCATTGGCCTGGCTACAGTTGGTCAGCTCAGTGTTGACACGTAGAGTGAAGGTTACAGCAGCCCGTGGGGGAGGCTCATGGTACCTCAGCACTATCTGCAGGACAGGAAAAGACAGGCCAGGCATGATCTCCTGCGAGGAGAAGAATCAGAGTCTTCCACCTTGCCTCCCTTCCACACTCATCCCACCACCTCACCTGAGCAAAGACACAGCTGCTGCCGTGGACCTGCACCAGGAACTGCCCCGGGACCTCTGTCAGTGCTGCCTGCTGCACCAGCAGCCGCTTCTGGCGGTTGACTTGGAAAGTCTTCCCAAAACCCTTCTGGGACTTCACCCTCACAAGTGCCTGGCCTGATGCACTGAACGTCCTTGCTGCGTATTTTGCTAAGGCTTGCAAGGCAACAACTGTGTCCTAGAGAGGGAGAGACAGTCACCTCTCTGAAAGCATCAGCTCTAGTGAAGCCAACTTGGAGTAGAAAGACCTCAAGAGGACTCACCCTGCCAACCTCGAATGCAAAAGTATATCAACCCACAGGGAGCCACTTGTTACCTGGGTGGAGGCAAAGCCCCCGTAGGCGTTCTGCTGCTGGGTCAGCCATGCCACGATACCAGCTGCAGTTGTCATGTCACCTGCATGCACCCGTGGCTTAGAGAGGTACGCCAGGAGAACGTAGGCTGTCAACTCTATGTCCACTGACTGAGTACCAGGCCAGAAGTCTGTGGAAGCTGGAGAGCTTGGCTTGGGGCTCCAGTGGATTTGTCCTCCTGTAGAAGGAAAAGGAGCATGTAAACTATCTGGAGATGACATAACTGGAGGTTCACAAGAAACAAAACCCAAAGTGCTTTCAGGGCTCCTTCAGCTCATTCCCTGTACTCAAGCCAGGATCCCTTACTTCAGTTTATTCTCCAGGGCTTCATCTGTTCTTAGCTGACAGATTCCTACCCCTTCCCTCAAGAGGATCTTGAAATTCTCCAGGCTGAGGAAACTCTAATAAGTCACACTCACAGCTTGTGAAATAACTTACTGTATTTTCAGTCACACAGTGCAGTTACTGCATTAATACAAGGCAAATTTACAGATACATATGTCATTTGAACCACCCTAGCTGGGCATAACTTACTCCAGATCCCAGCAGGTGCATCATAGAATCCCAGGACAGTAAGAGTTGGAAGGGACTTTAAAGCCCATCCAGTTC